TACCATCTTTTTCTACCTGGGCCCTGCCCACAGAAAAAATTGTGATATATCTTTAAGCCCATCACCTAGATCAGGCGTCCCCAAACTACGGCCCGCCGGCCGCATGCGGCCCCCTGAGGCCATTTATCCACCCCCCCACCCCCCGCTGCACTTCAGGAAGGGGCACCTCTTTCATTGGTGGTCAGTGAGAGGAGCACAGTATATGGTGGCCCTCCAATGGTCTGAGGGACAGTGAACTGGCCCCCTGTGTAAAAAGTTTGGGGATGCCTGACCTAGATTATGTGACTCTTCCCTTCTGCCTGAGCATTGTTTCCAGTAGGAAGTATGATATATCGCTGGACCCTGGACCCAAATAATGTGACTCTCCTGCCTGGGCCCTGCCTACAGTGGGCAATGTGACTCTCACAGGTAAATCCAGCCAACAGGTGGGATTGTCACCTTTACCTTCAAACATAGACACAGCCCACAGATGAGGTTATACATCTCATGTGTGAATGCACACCACGGTTGGAACTGTGACTGTCAGATGTGGGTTTGGCCACTGGTTGAATAGTAAGTCAGGTTTTGACTCAACTCACAAGCTCAGTGTTATCTCTTATACCTGAATCCAGCTAATAGAAAAGATGTTGGCTCTCACCGTTAGGCTTAGGGCAATAGGTGTGGTTCTGGGTTTTCCACTTGCACAGAGGCCACAGAAAACTGCAACACTTATGCATACTATATAATGCCCTAGGGGGGAACAGGGAGTGTCATGACACAGCCCAATTTCATAAGAAACTGAGGTTGTTATTTGCATATGCACAACCAGCTGACAGAATTGTCACCCTCACGCATGGACAGATCCCACTGGTGAGGTTCTAAATTTGGGGAGGAGGGGGCAGCTGCCTTCCAGGTATACCGCGATCAAATATGACATACCTCGATCAAATACCTATGTGATGTAACTCTCCAGCCTGGACCTTCCCCACAGAATGCATTTGAAATATCTTTGGGCTTATCACCTAAATGATGTGACTCTACTTTCCTGCCTAGTCCTGGCCTCCATTGAGAATTGTGACATATTGCTGGGCCCAGTACCTAAGTTATGTGACTCTTCTTTGCTGCTTGTACCTGCATTTAGAAGGGATTGTGACATATTTCTAGGCCAAGAACCTCAGTGATGGGACTCTCCTGCCTTGGCCCTGCCTTCAGGAAAAAATTGTGACATGACTCTGGGTCTATTACCTAGGTGATGTGACTCTCATGTCTTGCCTGGGCCAGCCCAAAGGGGTCACTGTGATGTATTTCTAAGAACATCACAGAGGTGCTGTGACTTTTCTGTTTTTCCAGGCCCTGGTTCCAGTAGGAATTTTGACATAACACCGGGTCCATACCATAGGTTACTCATGTAACTCTTCTAACCTGTCTGGGTTCTTATTACAAGAGAGATTGTGAGATACAGCTGGGCCTATCATCTAGTCAGTGTGACCCTCCTTTTCTTCCTATGCCCTGTTGTCAGTGAAGACTGTGACAAATCTCTGTGCTAATCAGCTGTGTGATATGACTCTCCTGCCTGTACCCTGCCTACAGTGGGCATTGTGACATATCACTGGGCCTAGCACCAAGGTGATGTGACTCTCCTGTCTTGTCCCTGCCCACAGGTGAAATTAGGACATACACCTTGGCCCAGATCACAGGCACAATGATGACTCTTATACCTGGACACAGCCAGTAGGAGATATTTTGACTCTCACAGCCAGGCTTAGGGCCAAAGGCAAAGTCATGCGTCTCCTACTTGTATAAAGTTCATAGAGAATTACAAAACTCAGGCCTATTGTATAAAGCGCAAGACTGATACAGAGAATTTTATAACTGGGCTCAGCTAACAGGTAAGATTGTGACTTTCATAAGTAGACCCAGCTGACATAATCATAATACTCACACACTAATAGAGCCTAGTGATGAGGCACTTAATCTCAAACACAAAAAGTTGCAAGTTGGAAGTTTTACTCCTATATGTGGATCTGGTCTACAGGTGGCTTGGTGACTCCTGAACCATGACTCAGCAGACCTGTAAGGCTGTGGCTCCCCCAGTGGAACACAATCTGCAGGTGGGATTGGGGCTCCTATGCACAGTTCTTGTCCATTGTTGAGATTGTGACTCCTTTACTTGAACCCAACTCACAGGCGAGGTTGCCTCTCTTACCTGAAGCTGGGACTTCTGTGGGATTGTGAAACTCATTTGTGTACATTCCTAAGTGTGATTCAAACATATGCCTTTTCCCAAAACTCAGGTTTGACTTTCTTTCTGAGACCAAGTCCATAGATAATGTTGTAACATACATGAATCCATCATCTAAGTAATGTTAAATTTTCCCTGGCCCTGACCCAGGTTATGTGACTCCCCTGCCTGGAACCTTCCTACATTGGGCATTGTGACTTATCTCTGGGTCCATTACAAAGGTGATGTGACTTCCTTCTACTGCCTTGGCCCTGCACTTAGAGTGCATTGTGACATATAGTTAGGTACTAAACCCAGGTAATGGGACACTCCTGCCTGGGTTCTTTCTACTGGAAGCATTGTAACATATCACTTAGCACAACACATAGGTGATGTGATTCTGCTCTCTCACCTGGTCTCTGCCCACTGAAGTGATTGTGATCTATCACTGAGCCAGGAACCAAGGTGATGTCACTCTCCTGCCTTGGCCAGTGAGAAGGTCACTGTGACATATATTTAGGCTAAACTTCTAGGTGAATTGAGTGTCCTCTCTTACCTAAACTCTGCCTACAGGAAAGATTTTGATAACAAGAGTCATGACCCCAATGATCTCAAGGATAGGCCTGCCTGTGGGCCCATAGGCTGCTCTCTGAACCCAGGGTCATTACATATCCCTGGACCAGCACACAGTTGATGTGCCTTTTTTGCTGTCTCTCTGCCCAGAGTTGGTATCATGCCATGGGACCTGGAACCAATTCACAGGCACAATGATGAATTTATTATTGTTGTTATTATTTTGAGACAGGGTCTCACTTTGTTGCCCAGACTGGAGCACAGTGGCATGATCTCGGGTCAATGCAACCTCCACCTCTGAGGGTTCAAGCGATTTTCAGCCCTCAGCCTACTGAGTAGATGGTATTACAGGCACAGGACAGCACACTTGGCTTATTTATTTATTTATTTAAATAGAGATGGGGTTTTGCAATGTTGGCCAGGCTGGTCCTGAACTCCTGACCTCATGTGACTCACCCACCTGGGCCTCCCAAAGTGCTGGAATTACAAGTGCAGGCCACTGTGGCTGGCCAATGGTGACACTTATACCTGGAGCCAAGACATGTATGGGATGGGGAATCATCAATGTCAAAATCCCATCAATTTCACAGTCTTTCATGTGGCTGATAATGTGGTGATACAAATTTTGTTGACCGGTTAAGAGAATGTGTCAGACATTGAATAACTGTACCTGCTGAGATGAGGGTGCTCCACCCCTGCTCTGGGCAGTTAGGCAGAGCTGAATCTCTGGGCTCCCATCCAGGACCCTTTCCCTGGCCACCAGACCATGTTAAAGCCACATAGACGAGCCTGGTGAGGAGGGCGGCTGGGTGCTTGATCACCCCACCTGGTCTGTGCCGCATGATCCCCTGTGTTGGAGGCCTTGGCCCATGCCCTGCTGAGCTCTGCAGCCATTCTCAGAGCCTGAACACATTATTAAAAACAGCATTCCAGCCAAGAGCAGTAGCTCATGCCTGTGATCTCAACACTTTGGGCGACTGAGGCAGGAGGACTGCTTGAGGCCAGGAGTTTGAGTCCAGCCCAGATAACATGGTGAGACCACATCTCTACAAAAATTTTACAAATCAGCTGGGCGTGGTGGTACACACCTATAGTTCCAGCTACTTGGGAGGCTGAGTCAGGAGGATTGCTTGAGCCCAGGAGTTCAAGGTTCTAATGAGCTGTGATCATACCACTGCACTCCAGCCTCGGCAACAGAGTGAGACCCTGTCACTAAAGAGTAATACAAAAACATCTTGCTTCTGTCACACAGAATTGACTTTCTCAATTGTTTATATGAAATTTTAAAAAAGTTCAGCGCCCTTTTGATTCTTTTACACTTGTCCCAGTGTCACTCTGCCCCAAGGCACCATAATCATGAATTTACATAGTCCTGTCACCCATTCAAACAGTACTTTTTACATAAATGCCGAAGAATATGTAAGGTTTTTACATGCTTCAGATGTACAGATGTGGCATCGCACGGTCTGTCACTGTGCCTGACTTGTCTTTCCACTCAACATTGCTTTTCCGTTTATCCTTGTTAGTAAGTGTAATTTGAGTTTCCGAGTAGTAACTGCTATAGTGTATTCCATTGTGAATATGCCTCATTTTCCTATGGATGGAATTTTAGATTTTTTTTTTTTTTTTGCTATCGTAAACCCTACTGCAGTGGACACCTGTTCATGTGTCCTCTTGTGCAGCTTTGTAGGAGTCTTCCTGTGGTGAAGTCCTAGTGGCATAGTGATTCTGTCTTAGGGTACATGCGTTTCAAGTTTTAGTCAGTTTTACTTGATTGCTCTCCACAACAGCTGTACCTGTTCATTGCATGACCAATACTGTCCACAGGCTTTCCATTTCCTCAGCTCTCACCAGAATGTCAGGCCTGGCCATTTTTCCCAGGACTTGGTGGAAAACAGTGCCCTTAAAAATTTCATTTCTGTGATTACTAGTCAGGTTGAGCTTTTTCCCTATATTAATTGGCAGAATTTGTTTAAACCCCCTTAAAGCGCCCTCCCTGCTCTGTCACCACTGCCTCTTCCACATGGAAGACTGAAGAGTGCGCAGTTGGCTGCAGGGTCCCCTTCCTACCTGGGGAGGGGAAGGCCATGCCCTGGGTGCATGTGTGCAGCCCTGCCAGGCAACATAGCGGCTGGGGCGGTGCGGGCTTTCTGACATCCCCTCTTGCTCCTCTGCCTGGTCAGGCAGGAACATGGATTTTTCACCAGTACTCTGCTTTCGGGGTTTACTGTGAGGAAATGCGTGAAGAGCGGCAAGACCAGCTGAAATTTATCGACAAACAGCTGGAGCTCTTGGCTCAAGACTATAAACTACGAATTAAGCAGATTACAGAGGAGGTGGAGAGACAGGTGAGCAATAAGGAGGAAGCATTCTAGGGGGATTTGGACTCTGAGTAGAGTCCAGAAGAAAACAGACATCCTCCTCTTAGGAGCTTCTCAGCCTTCCAAAAGGAAGTTATGGCCCTGCTTCAAGAATAGAGCTGCTTTTTGGGTTCCACTGTGGGGTTGTGGGATGCTGGGCATGTTCCCCCTCCTCTGGACCTCCACGGATCATGTGGGCGTTTGATCAGGCTTTAATTCCATAGAGGAGCGGAAGAGGCTGCTGGTGTGAGGAAGGATGTGCCCTCTGGTAAGGATCTCCTGGTGCTGCAAGACTGAACCTTGGTCTTCCTTGATACTTAACAGTGTGCTTCCTTTTGCTGTAGGTGTCGATGGCAATGGCCGAGGAGATCAGGCGCCTCTCTGTGTTGGTGGATGATTACCAGATGGATTTCCACCCTTCTCCAGTAGTCCTCAAAGTTTATAAGAATGTGAATCATGGAGCAGCAGGTCCTCTTGGCAGGGGCCCCAAAAGTGATTCAGCCCCTGCAGGTGCATGTGGCCTGAAGGGAATTTTGATGGGGTGCTTCTCTTAACCTCCCTCTTCTGGTGGCAGGAACTGCACTGCCACATAGAGGAAGGACTGGGCCGAAACATGTCCGACCGCTGCTCCACGGCCATCACCAGCTCCCTGCAGGCCATGCAGCAAGACATGATAGGTTAGTGTCTAGGGGAACTTGGGACTTGTGGCCCTGGGCTGCCCAGAGATCGGATTTGGAGGCCAATCTAAAGAAATCAGGACTTTCCTTATCTGTCACCTATCATGATGATTCAACTCAATACCTTCAGGTTCTGAGTACATGTTGTCAACTCATTCTTGTTTGTTTTTTGAGACACAGTCTCACTCTGTAACCCAGGCTGGAGTGCGGTGGCGTGATCTTGGCTCACTGGGACCTCTGCCACCTAGGTTCAAGCGATTCTTCCACCTCAGCCTCCCAAGTAGCTGGGACTACAGGCGTGCACCACTACACCTGGCTAATTTTTTTGTATTTTTAGTAGAGATGGGGTTTCACCTTGTTGGCCAGGCTGGTCTCGAACTCCTGACTTCAAGTGATCCACCTGCCTCAGCCTCCCAGAGTGCTGGGATTACAGGCATGAGCCACCGAGCCTGGCCTTGTGAACTCATTCTGTATACAGGGTTGGGGAGCCCATCTTGTGCTACCACATGGGTCTATCCTAGGCTGGGAATTGGGCCTGCTCCTTTAAGTTCATGTGAGGCATAAGCATTAGCAGGTATGGCATCTTGAGTCCACACTTGAGCTAGGGAGAGCTGGCCTCAAGTGAGGCATGCTCAGTCTCACAGGGACGACTTGCCTGGGGTGTGGTTCCCAGGCAAAGCTGTTCGGCATCCCTGGCAGTAGCTAGTGGAGTCCTGGCCCCAAGGCTTGGCGCTGCTGTGGTGCAGGGCTGAGCTGATAAGCTTTTCCCCCATTTCTCTACCTGACAGATGGCTTGAAACCCCTCCTTCCCACGTCTGTGCGGAGTCAGATAGACATGCTAGTTCCGCACCAGTGCTTCTCCCTCAACTACGACCTGAACTGTGACAAGCTGTGTGCTGACTTTCAGGAAGACATTGAGTTCCATTTCTCTCTCGAATGGACCATGCTGGTGAATAGGTTCCTGGGCCCCAAGAACAGCCGTCGGGCCTTGATGGGCTACAATGACCAGGCAAGCAAAGTTCCTCACCTCAGGGACATTGTGGGAGGTCAGTGTGTACCCCGCCTCCAGACACAGGAGCCATTCTAAAACGGGGGTTCCCTAAGGTCAGCGGCTGTGTGGAGTGCCCCCCCCAATAGTACACCACAGTCAGAATGTTTGCTACTGATTGAACTGGATTTGTTCTAAGCAGTAATATTTGTGAAGTGACAGCTGCTAGTATTTTTTTCTAATACACATTAAAGTATGTAGCTATTAAAAATAGATGACTTAAAAATAACCACCTACATATAACTATTTTAAAATTCCAATTTTAAAAACATTCATCTCTAAACCACTTGAGTTGTCACACGTACTGCCCTCTGTACACAACCCATGCTCAGGGAAGCTGCCAGGTGGGCCAGGATGGCTTCTGCTCACACTGTGCACGTCCTGTGGTGTCACCTGAGGGTTGGCAGGTCCACTGGGAAGCTCCACACCTTTGCTACATGTGACGCTACTTTTACCCTTCTTGCCTTTTAGAAATTGAAGAGCTGCTCTGTATGTCCCTGTTCCCCAGACTAGGGCATTCTCAGTGATGCCCTAGTCTGGGGAACAGGGACACACAGAATGTGTGAATGAGGGACTCACCACATCCCCCTCACGCCTCTCGTCTTTCTCTCCTCAGGTTCAGCGTCCCATCCCTCTGACGCCAGCCAACCCCAGCATGCCCCCACTGCCACAGGGCTCACTCACCCAAGAGGAGCTCATGGTTTCCATGGTTACCAGGCCTTGCCTCCCTGACATCCAGGACCTCCATGGGCATTCTCATTGTTGGAGGAGTGGTCAGTGAGCAGTTCTGCTTGGGAAGGTGGGGAGGAGGGCAGGTGGGCAGGGCCTGAGGGCTAGTTCCGGTGATGACCCCTGAGTTGGCCACACATGCCACAGTCCGATACATACTTCTCTTTCAGTGACTTTCACTGTGATCTCATAGGGCCACAGCAGCGCCAGTGACTGGCTTACTCCCTCACTGTTTCCCTCACTTCCCTCTGGAGATGGTCCCAGCCTTTCCTGGCCTCAGTGGGATCAAAGGAGACACTGAGAGAGGAACTCAGAGTAGAAACATGAAGACTCCTTGGCTGGAGCCCTTTAGATGGCACTGGTAGTGATGGGCCCCAAAGGAGGGTGGGTCACAGAGAGGCTGCACTCCAGGGTGACCGTGTGTTCTGCAGGTGTAGAAGGCGCTGGGCTGGCGGCTCATTCGCCCTCTCTTTGGGGCTCTATGGCCTCCTCTGTGTCTATGAGCATCTGACCTGGACCACCAAGGCCAAAGAGAGGGCTTTCAAGCACCAGTTTGTGGAGCATGCCAGTGAGAAGCTGCAGCTGGTCATCAGCTACACTGGCTCCAACTGTAAGCCACCAAGTCCAGCAGCGAGTGGCACCCTCGGACCCCAGCAGGGGACTTCCTTTAGGCAGGGTCAGCCCCATCCCCCTTCCCCCATCTCTCTTCAAACTGACCTGGAAGCCACTGGGTCCTGAGCATTGTAGACCCTGGGCCTTCAGGGGTGCAGGGCCAGCTTTGAGGCCAGTGATGGGGAGAAGGGTCTCCCAGGGACACCTTGTTTCTTGGGCCGGGACTAGGTAGGCCTCTGGGCTCCTTGAGGAGGAAGAAATGGGAAGGCAAGAGATATTTATAAAACATAAGTTTCAGAGGTTGCTCTGAAGAGCTTGGGCTGTGGAAGTAGCTTTGAAGTTTTCTTTTCTTTTTCTTTTTAAAGACAGGGTTTCACCATTTTGGTCAGGCTGGTCTTGATCTCCCAACCTCAGGTGATCCGCCCGCCTTGGCCTCCAAAGTGCTTGGATTACAGGCAGGAGCCACCGTGCCCAGCCAACTTTGAAGTTTTCAAACCCAGATTGATTTTCATGCACATCTTGGGTCAGGTGGGAATCTATTGCTCAATCTGGGGTGACTGGCATCTGTCATGCTAGTATTACTCAGTGTATATCACGAATATGCTCACTTCATTTTTTTATTGTGAGTGGCGGACCCTTTGCTCTAGACATTTTGCACCTAATTTACCCATTTCTCTGACTCTTTGAGATAGATGTTGTCTTACAGGCATCTCTTTTTTCAAAATGAGGAAACTGAGATTTGAAAAATAGTCACATGTCCCATGCCACTTGGCTGATAAGCAGCAGAGTCAGGATCTCTTGTGCCCAAACCATGGTGCACTGCTCTGTGCTGTTGATTCTCAGGCCATGGTGATGTTGAATGTGTTTGATTGCTATGATTATTCACAGTCTCAGCAGAGGGTAGGAGATTCTACCAAACCAGGGCTGGCTCAGAGCAGAGCTGCTGTCAGGGATATAGATGAGCCCAGCTACTCCTCACTCTGGGTTCGTTAAGCTACCAGTGGCATCTTGCTCCACACACCCCAATTGATCCCTTCTCTCTCCTCCCCAGGGAACTGTCTGGGACTTTTGCTCATCTGTGTCAGCAAGTTGACGTCACCCGGGAGAACCTGGAGCAGGAAATTGCTGCCATGAACAAGAAAATTGAGGTTCTTGACTCACTTCAGAGCAAAGCAAAGCTGCTCAGGTGAGGCTGGGCTGGGTGGCCAGAGGTGAGGGTTCCGGGGGTGCAGCCCACGCACACTGGGTCTCAGCTGCTGGTCTTGTGTCTTGGGCATGGACACAAACCTCTTTGGTGGAAGCTTAGCTCATTGGTATTAGATGTGTACCACGTATCTGATGGGTGCCAGATGGTGTTGGTGCTGGAGGCTCAACACGACAGTGTCACTGCCCACAAGGCATTTGCAGTTGATGGCAAGTACATACAATGGCATCACAGTACTGCAAGCTTGCAGTTCACAGCACCCTGTGCCGAACCACAAGGCCTGCAGCACTTTACGTGTGCTATTTCACTCAGTCTTGCATATCCCTCCATTTTATACATAGAAAAATTGGGGAACGCCAGGCGTGGTGGCTCACACCTGTAATCCCAGCACTTTGGGAGGTCAAGGCAGGTGGATCAACTGAGGTTGGGAGTTCGAGACCAGCCTGACCAACATGGAGAAACCCCATCTCTACGAAAAATACGAAATTAGCCAGGTGTAGTGGTACATGCCTGTAATCCCAGCTACACAGGAGGCTGAGGCAGGAGAATTACTTGAACTCGGGAGGTGGAGGTTGCAGTGAGCTGAGATGGTGCCGTTGCACTCCAGCCTGGGCAACAAGAGCAAAACTCTGTCTCAAAAAAAAAAAAAAAATTGGGGAACTTGTCTGACATCTCAGAAAATGGCCAGGCTAGGAGGGGAGCCCAGGTGTGCTTGGCTGCAGCAGCCCCTGCATGCTGATTCTCCTTATACCTGCCGCTCTTTGGACCCATGAAAAGGGCATAGACCTCCCATTTACCCACAGAGAAGCTGTTTACCTGGCTGGGGACTGGCAGAGCTGGGATTGGAACTCAGATCTCCATGGGGTCTCTGTGGAGCTTTCATTAACAGTTTGCTGGAAAGAGCATCAGTCTGGGGAGTCTGGAGTCACAGGTTCTCTCCAGCCACTCCTGTTTGGCCCAAGCTCTTAACTCTCCTATGTTTCATTATTTTCATCTGTAAAATGGGAGTAACATTTTGTGACACAACTGCATGACTGAATATAAAAGTGTCCTGTAGAAACCCGCGGCCTGCCCAGTGCATGATAACATCAGCACATGGGGACCCTGCAGAAACCCTCAGCCTGCCTAGCCCATGATAACATCAGCACATGGAGACTTGCACCCCCCCACCCCCCATTGCTGGGACTGATTCATTCATCCAGTACGTGCCATAGGCATGAGGCGCTCTTTGTCCGCCTACTTGCAGGCCTGTCGGGGTCCTGGGCGGATCAGGTGAGGCCTTGGGGGTGGTGGGCCGGCTGGCCAGGTGGGATCTCCCTTGGCCCTGCAATGTTGGTCGTTCCCACTGTGTGCGCGGTCCCCTTTTTGTCCCCTCCTTAAGCCGGCCACTGACTGGAGAGTCGAGGGAGGGAGGGAGGGAGAGTTGGCTACGGGTGAGTGGGGTGAGGGTGCGGGACCACCCAGATTAGCTCCCCCAACCCAAGTCCGGCAAATCAACACTGTGGATTGAATTCACTGGAACACGTGGTGGGCATTTGCCACTGGAAGAAGGTCAGTGGTGGGTTGAAGTCTATGTTGGGTTACCTCAGAATTGAGTTTGGGGGCTGCTTTAGGAAAACTCAGGACTTACCAACTGCCAGTGCCAAATTAATCACTGTGGGGAGAACTCAAATTAAACAGGTGTGTTTCATTGAGCCCAGGGGCTGCTGGAGAGAGAGAGGGCCTCAGCTGACCCAGGACCCTGGTGGACCCCTGCGTAGAACCACAGCAGGTGTGGGTGGATGCCTGCTGAATGATACAGCGGGAAAGGAAGGAGCAAGCTGTTGGTCCAGTGGTTGGTTGCAGTGGGGGAGAGGGAGGACCCAGTTGCCCTTTAATCCTACAGGAAGAGAGGAATCCAGGCTACGGAGTTCAATTCTAGTCATCGACCTTAGGCAGTGGGAGGAGAGTCGTGGAGTGGGCTTTAGGCAGGAGGGAGGATCTACACAGCAAAGGGGACAGCCAGATGCCCCTTCCATCTCCAATGGGCAATGTGAGGTGGTCCCCACTTCCTCCCCAGAGGGCAGAGGGGCAAAGCCCTGGCTAGAGACATCCTGTCCCAGCTCTGCAAGCCCTCACCTGGGGGAAGGTAAGAGTTTGGAGTGCCAAGGTCTTGGAGAGATAAAGGGAAGGAAGAGATGTGAAACGAGCTTGGGGGGCTTTGCTGGTTTTGGGACCAAAGCTCATGTGCTTCTGTTCTGTAGAGTGAAGCCCCCTCCACTTTTTTTTATGTTAGAGACAGGGTCTCACTCTGTTGTCCAGGCTGGAGTGCGATCATAACTCACTGCAGCCTAAACTCCCATACCCTCCACCTTTTTTTTTTTTTTTTTTTTTTTTTTTGAGATGGAGTCTCGCTCTTGTTGCACAGGCTGAAGTGAAGTGTCAAGATCTTGGCTCACTGCAACTTCCGCCTCCTGGATTCAAGTGATTCTCCTGTCTCAGCCTCCCAAGTAGCTGGGATTACAGGTGTGTACCAAAACGCCTGGCCAATTTTTGTGTACTTAGTAGAGATGAGGTTTCACCGTGTTAGTCAGGCTGGTCTCGAACTCCCAACCTCAAGTGATCCTCTGGTCTCGGCCTCCCAAAGTGCTGGGATTACAAGTGTGAGTCACTGCACTCAGCCTCCCATACCCCTTTTTAAATAAAAATAGTACATATTTAATTGCACAAGGAATATGTAAATATATCCTCAAAGCAAAACTATAAACACTACAGATAAAGCCAAGTCTCTTGACACCTCCTCGTCCTGATCCCTTCAAAGATGTAACCACCATAATGGATTTGGCGTGTTTCCTTTGCAGACTTTCGTAAACGAATGTCCATATTTATACTGTTTTTATAGAAATATATAGACTTGGGCCGGGCATGGTGGCTCACGCCTGTAATCCCAGCACTTTGGGAGGCCGAGGCGGGTGGATCATGAGGTCAAGAGATCGAGACCATCCTGGTCAACATGGTGAAACCCCGTCTCTACTAAAAATACAAAAGATCAGCTGGGCATGGTGGTGCGTGCCTGTAATCCCAGTTACTCAGGAGGCTGAGGCAGGAGAATTGCCTGAATCCAGGAGACGGAGGTTGCAGTGAGCCGAGATCGCGCCATTGCACTCCAGCCTGGGTTACAAGAGCGAAACCCTATCTCAAAAAAAAAAAAAAAAAAAAAAAGAAAAGAAAGAAATATATAGAGTTTTTCATATACTATACCTTATGGTATATATGGCTCTTCATTTGGCTTTATGATGTCTATGAGACATCTTGGTGAGCTTTCCATGCTGAAACTTACAGATTCTCTGCCAAAGTTTTAAAATGCCACATGGTCTTTTACCAAGTGGGATGTTTCATAGTTTATTTATGTCCTGGATGGTTGGGTGATAAGGTTTTCACCATTATTCTTTATTTGTTGGTGTGCTATTAAAATGCACAGCCCTATATGGGTGCTTTTGGAAATGGATGTGTGTGATTCTTTCCTAGACAAGAGGCTGGGAAGAGAATACTGAGGTTGCAGGGTGAAAGTGCATTGAATTTGAAAGACACCACTGAGCTGCTTTCCAGGGTGGCTGGACAATTTACCCTCCCACTAGCAGTGCAAGAGAGTAGTAACTTTTCCATATCCTAACCGACATTTGATCTTATCAGCATTTTAATTTTTCTCAATGTGATTAGTGAAAAGGGTTTTATCCTTGTTGCCTTAATTTGCTTTTCTCACCTGCTAGGGAAGCTGAACATCTCTCTGGGCTCTGGCAATAGGCCATTTCTTGGCACGAGTCAGGATGTCCTTGGGGAAGGGGCTGCCTGCTCAACACAGTACTCCCTTTGGCCTCTCAAGCCTTCTTCCACTTCTGTTTTTCCCAGTAAAGGTTTAGGAAGCTCATTATTTAAAAAAAAAAAAAAAATCCCAAATTAGGGCTTGAATTTCCTTGAGTTTAAAATTCTTTCTTTATGTTTTTGAGACAGAGTCTCACTCAGCTGCCCAGGCTAGAGTACAGCAGCACTGCAACCATCCTCTTCTGGGTTCAAATGATTTTACTGTCCCAGCCTCCCAAGTAGCTGGGACTACAGGCACCCACCATCAGGCCTGGCTAAGTTTTGTATTTTAGTAGAAGGGTTTCATCATGTTGGCCAGGCTGGTCTCGAACCCTTGACCTCAGATGATCCACCCGCCTTGGTGACCCAAAGTGCTAGGATTACACATCGACCTAAAATCCCCACCCACTTTTTTTTTTTTTTTTTTTTTTTTTTTTGAGACAGTCTTACTTTGTCTCACAGGCTGGAGTTCAGTGACACAATCTCAGCTCACTGTAATCTCTGCCTCGCAGCTTCAAGGGATTCTCCTGTATCAGCTTCCTGAGTAGCTGGGATTACTGGCACCTGCCACCACGCTTAGCTGATTTTTATAATTTTGATAGAGATGGGGTTTCGTCACGTTGGCCAGGCTAATCTTGAACTCCTGGCCTCAAGTGATCCACCCGCCTGGGCCTCCCAAAATGCTGGGATTATAGGTGTGAGCCACTGTACCCATCCTGACTTTTTTCATCTCTATTTGATTTTTCCCAAGACTCCATCATTTTTCGCCTGGTACTCTGAGGCAGGAATGCTTTCTTGCTAGCTGTCACCATCTGAGAAAAAGCCTCTGACAATTCATATCACTGTCTTGCCCGATTGCGTTTTTGTAATCCGACTCAGGATTAACTGGTGCATATCTGCAGAGAAAAATTTATTCCCCTCTAGCTCCATCCTTTTCATCCAGGCACCACGGGGTAGGGTTGGGGGCGGGGGAAGCCCAAGCCTTCCTGCGAACTCTATAGACTTAGAATTTCCCCAACATCATGTTCCTTGCCAGTCAGTACTCAGGTCAAACAAGCCTTCCTCCTACATTCACATACCCCCAGTTCCAACCAGATGTAAGCAGGTTTGCTCTGGGTTAGTGTGTAGGCTGGGACCGGGAAGGGT